CTGACGGCCGAGGAGAAGCGCCGCGCCCACCAGAAGGAGTTGGCCACCCAACTCAACGAGGAGGCCCGCCGGCGCCTGACCGAGCAGAAGGGCGAGCAGCAGATCCAAAAGTACCCCAAAATCTTGACTTTTTTTGGGGTCAAATCCCCAAATCCGGCCATTTTGGTGGTGGGAAGCTCCTCCTCCATCTTCTGCGTTGTCCAATCAGGGCGCGGAAGTCCAACATCTCCTACAAGAACCCGGCGTTGATGCCCAAGGAGCCGCACATCCGCGAGATGAAGATTTACATCGACAAGAAGTACGAGACGGTCATCATGCCCGTCTTCGGCATCGCCACCCCCTTCCACATCGCCACCATCAAGGTGAGGTGGACCTTCGGTGGCCGGTCCCACCGCTGGACGGGGTGGGACTTGGTCATTGAGAGGAGTTATGGGGTCTCGGTGGAAGGTTGACCCAGAATTTGGGGGTTTGGGGTGGGACTTGACCTCCATCTTGGAGGTTTTGAGGTGGGACTTGATCTCCAAGTTGAGTTTTGGGCATTTGGAGGTGGGACTTGACCTTCGAGATGAGTTTTGGGGTCTGGGGGGAAGGTTGACCCAGAACTCGGGGGTTTGAGGTGAAGGTCGATCTCCATCTTGGAGGTTTTGAGGTGGCACATGACCTTCAAGATGGTGTTTGGAGGTGGGACTTGACCTCCAAGGAGGTGAGACTTGACCTTCAAGAGGAGTTACGGGGTCTGGGGGGAAGGATGACCCAGAACTCGGGGGTCTGGGGTGGGATCTGACCTCCATCTTGGAGGTTCTGAGGTGGGACTTGACCTCCAAGGAGGTGAGACTTGACCTTCAAGAGGAGTTACGGGGTCTGGGGGGAAGGATGACCCAGAACTCGGGGGTCTGGGGTGGGATCTGACCTCCATCTTGGAGGTTCTGAGGTGGGACTTGGCCTTCCCCTTGACAGTTTTGGGGGTTGGGCTGAAGGTTGACCTCCAAAATGGCGTTTGGAGGTGGGACTTGACTTTCCAGATGAGTTACGGGATCTGGGGTGAAGGTTGACCCAGAACTTGGGAGTCTGGGGTGGGACCTGACCCCTATCTTGGACATTTTGAGGTGGGACTTGGTCTCCAGGTGAGGTTTGGAGGTGGGACTTGACCTTCAAGAGGAGTTGCAGGGTCTGGGGGGAAGGTTGACCCAGAACTTGGGGGTCTGGGGTGAAGGCTGACCTCCATCTTGGAGGTTTTGGGGTCCCACCTTCACCCACACATGGTTATGGGGTCCCATCTTCACTCACACGTGGTTATGGGGTCCCACCTTCAACCCAACATGGTTTTGGGGTCCCACCTTCACCCAGACATGGTCCCACCTTCACCTGCACATGGTTATGGGGTCCCACCTTCAACCCAACATGGTTATGGGGTCCCACCTTCACCCACACATGGTCCCACCTTCACCCGCACGTGGTTATGGGGTCCCACCTTCAACTCACACGTCGTTTTGGGGTCCCACCTTCACCCAGACGTGGTTTTGGGGTCCCACCTCACCTTCTCCACCTTCTCCTGTCCTCCTCAGAACATCAGCATGTCGGTGGAAGGCGACTACACCTACCTCCGCATCAACTTCTACTGCCCAGGCAGCGCCTTGGGGCGCAACGAGGGCAACATCTTCCCCAACCCCGAGGCCACCTTCGTCAAGGAGATGTGAGCCACCGCCCTGGACCTCCTGGGTGGGTGCCACCGGGTGGGGTGGCACCTTCTCAACTTCTCCTGCTCTCCACCCAGCACCTACCGCGCCTCCAACATGAAGACCCCGGGCGAGCAGACGGTCCCGGCCCTCAACCTCCAGAATGCTTTTCGCATCATCAAGGAGGTCCAGAAGCGCTACAAGACCCGAGAAGCTGAGGAGAAGGAGAAGGAGGTGGGGAGCGCCGCTGGAGAAGACAACCGCGAAGGTCCTCCTGGACCTCCTGGTGGTGAGGACCGTCTTGGTGGTGTCTTCTCCAGGGCATCGTCAAACAAGACTCCTTGGTCATCAACCTCAACAGGAGCAACCCCAAGTTGAAGGACCTCTACATCAGGCCCAACATCGCCCAGAAGAGGATGCAGGGCTCGCTGGAGGCCCACGTCAACGGTACGGAGGTTGGCCCACCTCCAAATGGCCAAGGTGGTGGACCAGTTGTCCTCTCAAATCTCCAAGTTCAGGGTCAACCTTCACCCCAGACCCCAAAACTCATCTTGGAGGTCAAGTCCCACCTCAGAACCCCACTTGGAGGTCAAGTCCCACCTCCAGACCTCACCTGGAAGCCAAGTCCCACCTCAGAACCTCCAAGATGGAGGTCAGGTCCCACCCCAGACCTCCAAGTTCAGGGTCAACCTTCACCCCAGGCCCCAAAACTCATCTTGAAGGTCAAGTCCCACCTCAAAATGTCCAAGATGGAGGTCAGGTACCACCCCAGACTCCCAAGTTCTGCGTCAACCTTCATCCCAGACCCTGAAACTCATCTTGGAGGTCAAGTCTCACCTTCTTGGAGGTCAAGTCCCACCTCCAAACCCAACCTAGACATCAAGTCCTACCTCCAAACCCCACCTGGAGGTCATGTCCCATCTCAAAATGGCCAAGATGGAGGTCAAGTCGTCCTCCAAAACCTCAAGTTCAGGGTCAACCTTCCCCCAAGACCCCAAAACCCATCTTGAAGGTCAAGTCCCACCTCAAAATGTCCAGGATGGAGGTCAGGTTGTCCCCTAGAACCCCGAGTTCTGGGTCAACCTTCCCCCCAGACCCCAAAACTCATCTTGGAGGTTAAGTCCCACCTCAGCCGGGTGGCCGGCCGGCCCTTTTTGGTAGCCCACCGGTGGGTTGTCTTCTCCTCAGGCTTCCGCTTCACCTCAGTGCGGGGCGACAAGGTGGACATCCTCTACAACAACATCAAACACGCCGTCTTCCAGCCCTGTGACGGCGAGATGATCATCGTTCTCCACTTCCACCTCAAGGTCTTCTTCTGGGCTTGGGCCACCAAAGGGTGGGGTGGGGCAACCAGCCGATGGGTGGTGGGGCCACCAACCAACCAGGGGGGTTGTCTTCTCCAAGAACGCCATCATGTTCGGGAAGAAGCGCCACACGGACGTGCAGTTCTACACGGAGGTGGGCGAGATCACCACGGACCTGGGCAAGCACCAGCACATGCACGACCGCGACGACCTCTACGCCGAGCAGGTGTGTCCTCCTCGAGGTGGCCACCAGAACCCTGAGGTGGTCACCAGAACTTTGAGGTGGCCACCAGGACCTCGAGGTGACCGGTAGAACCTTGAGGTGGTCACCAGATCTTTGAGATGACCAGTAGAACCTTGAGGTGACTACCAGAAGGTCTTGGAGGTACCATCAGGACTTCGAGGTGGCCACCCTAACCTTGAGGTGGCCACCAGGACCTTGAGGTAGCCATCAGGACCCTAAGGTGGCCACCACAACCGCGAGATGGTCACCAGGACCTCGAGGTGGTCACCAGGACCTCGAGGTGGCCACCAGGACCTTGAGGTGGTCACCAGAACCCTGAGGTGGTTACCAGAATCTCGAGGTGGCCACCAGGACCCTGAGGTGGCCACCAGGACCTTGAGGGGGCCACCAGAGGCCCCCGCGGGGCCCA